AAAGCTTAGGGAGACTGTCTTCAGAGATTCCCAAATATAACAAAATTGAGGGATCCTTAAGCTTAGATTTCAGAATAACTATTTCTCCATCCAAAATTATCTTTCTGTATTATTCATGTCATCTAATCAAAAGTGGAGGTTTTTTCCTGACCATCATGGCTCAGTGTTTGAGTGTCAATCTATGAACCAGGAGGTAACAGTTCGATTCCCGGGTTGTGGGCTTGATCCCCAGTGTCGGGTGTGCAAGAGGCAGCTGATCAATGATTCTCTCTCATCATGGATGTTTCTATCTCTCCCTCTCCCTCTGAAATCAGTAAAAATATATTAAAATAATAATAAATTAAATAAATAAAAATTTTAAAGTGGAGGCAAATTATTTTTTTTAAATCCACTTAAGGGAAAATATACTGATGGTTTTAGGTTAAGAAAAGCTGTCAGTTGGATAGAAAATCACTTTTCCTCTAAGGCTGAACTTCAGAGATCAAATATGAACATAAATAAGTGTTAGAGGAAATAAACGTATAAGAAAGTTTCTAAGAACAATATTTTCTAATGTCCAAGAAAATTATGATTTTACATAGATACTACATAAACTCACAAAAGCCTAAATTTTTGTGAGCTGTAAAGTATATTTAGATTATTTTGTTGTCATTGTAACTGTTTAATGCAACACTATAAATCCTGCATTTTAAGCATACTAATCTGACAGCAAATTGAGACTGATTAAAGGTTCTAGAACCAAGGCTCTGAGATTGAATGTGTTCTTTCACATAAATATAGGCACAAAATACTGGCTTGGATTCCAGAATGCCTTCTGCACATTCTGCTTGACAGTTTCATTTTATCCAAGATATTGATTGCCCTTAATTAACCCCTGTCCCTTATTGTACTCTGTTCCTGCCTCTGTGAGCTATTTGTGTTTTCTGTGCTCTGCTTTAACTTTTTTCAGAAATCATAGAATGTATGAGAGTTGTCAGAGTTACGTGTTTTCGAACTGGCGAGTGGGTGGGGCTTTATTTTTTATCCAATTCTATTTCTATCATAGAAATTTCTTTCCAAGAAGTACGTAAAAAGAAGTGCTTTGCTTTCTTGATATATTGCAGATTGGAAATTAAGATGGGAAAACAAAGAATTATCAGTGAAGGAGGATATTTATGAGGATCACTCACCCCAAACGGTAATAATAGAAAAAATGATAAAGTTGTGAATTTTTAAATTTTAACAAGGACTGGGAATATATAGAGAAGTTGGAGGGAAAGCATGTAAATTAGGTAGAACATTTTAGACCAGTGACATTCACCTTTAGAGAAAATCCCAATGGGGAATGTGTTTATAAATACAATACATTTAGAAACATTTTCTATTTAAATTTAAAGTCTATTCTTTCTGAACTACAGAGAATCTCTGCTGAAGGGAAATCACATACACATGATATATTTAAGAAGATCTTACCGAAAAAGTCATTTATAAAAAATGAGAATATCAATGGTGGAAAGAAACTTTTGAATTCTAATGGAAGTGTGGCAGCCTTCAGCCAGAGCAAATCTCATACCCTTCACCAGACTTATAATAGAGAGAAAATCTATACATGCAGTGAATGTGGGAAAGCCTTTGGCAAACAATCAATCCTTAATCGCCACTGGAGAATTCATACAGGAGAGAAACCTTATGAGTGTCGTGAATGTGGGAAGACTTTTAGCCATGGCTCATCCCTTACTCGCCATCAGATAAGCCATAGTGGTGAGAAACCTTACAAATGTATTGACTGTGGGAAGGCCTTTAGCCATGTCTCATCACTTACTAATCATCAAAGCACTCACACTGGAGAGAAACCATATGAATGTATGAACTGTGGAAAGTCTTTTAGTCGTGTTTCACATCTCATTGAGCATCTGAGAATTCATACTCAAGAAAAACTCTATGAATGTCAAATATGTGAGAAGGCCTTCATTCATAGGTCATCTCTCATTCACCATCAGAAAATTCATACTGGAGAGAAACCTTATGAATGTAGTGAATGTAGAAAAGCCTTTTGCTGTAGCTCACACCTTACTCGACATCAAAGAATTCACACTATAGAGAAACAATTTGAATGCAACAAATGTCTGAAAGTCTTTAGTAGCCTCTCATTTCTTATTCAGCATAAGAGTATTCATACTGAAGAAAAACCCTTTGAATGTCAGAAATGCAGGAAATCCTTTAACCAGCCTGAATCACTAAATATGCATTTGAGAAATCACATTAGATTGAAACCCTATGAATGCAATATATGTGGGAAAGCCTTCAGTCATAGGTCATCCCTGCTTCAACATCACAGAATTCATACTGGAGAGAAACCCTATGAATGTATAAAATGTGGGAAGACCTTCAGTTGTAGTTCAAATCTTACTGTACATCAGAGAATTCATACTGGAGAAAAGCCATATAAATGTAATGAATGTGGGAAAGCTTTTTGCAAAGGCTCAAATCTTACTGCCCATCAGAGGATACATAATGGAGAGAAACTCAGTAGTGCCCTAAGTGTGGAAAAACCTTTAGGCTATCTGAATCACTATACATGTGAAAAATCATATATGAGAGAAACTGTATGAATGCAGTGTTTTTCATAATATATTTCAGCCATTGATCCTCCCTGATTGAGCAACAGAAAATCTATATTGGAGAAAAGTCTTAAGAGAATAATAACTATAGGAAGGTCTTTAGCAATGGTACAAGACATATTGTCCAGAGTTCACACTGAAGAGAGACCATATGAAGGCAATAAATGTGAGAATGCCTTTAGCCAGTATTAATCTTTTAATAAGTAGACGCACACTGTATTTACTGTTCTATATATGTAATAACAAATATGGGGAAGACTTGGCAATATGAATCTCTTATGAAATGTGTACAAACATGTACAAGAGAGACAAAATATGAATATAAATTTGTGGAAAGTCCTTTAGTTAAAGTGCACCCCTCATGCTACATCAAAGAACTCACACTGCAGAGAAAGCGTATGTAAGAAATGTAGCAAAGTGTTCATAAGAGCTCTTATTTTCTTAGACATGAAATGTTTGGAACAATCTGTGTACTAATGCTAGAACAACCTGAAGGATGTAGGAATTATGTGTAAATCTTTGCAATGATGCCATTTGTAAACAGTTTTACAGGAGAGCAAACAAGCATATTATAAATAAATATGCATTTCTTATAGCAGTAGCTTGCAATTTTACGTAAGTTCTACATAGAAATTATCTTTGGTTAATAGGCATGGGAAGATATTTAGTTACTCAGTGGATTGAGTAAATGTTATAAAGATGAAAATTAAATTTGCAAAAGAAGTAAAAAGTGGTGTGAATGAAATTCTTGATCTCTAATAAAAACCAGTTGTATATATTAAACTCACAGTGACACTGGTATGTCTTGTAAAACTTTCTACTACTTTCCTCTTGATGAATTAAGATCAGACTGACAACAGCCTTTAGTGGGAGACTAGCAAACCTAAAGAAAAACTGGCCCAGCCAGTGTTGCTCAGTGAGTGTCAACCTGTGAGCCAGGAGGTCATGGTTCGATTCCCAGTCAGGGCATATGCCTGTATTGCAGGCTCAATCCCCAATAGGGGGCATGCAGGAGGCAGCTGATCAGTGATTCTCTCTCATCATTGATGTTTCTATCTCTTCCTCTCCCTTTCTGAAATCAATAAAATATATATGTTAAAAAAGAAAAACTGCCTAATCTCTGTGCTAAGAATTTCATTTTTGGTAAGGACATTTCATAGTCCTTTTCCTCTGGGTTAATTCACACATTTAAATTTTTAACAAAGTACTTGTGAGAACATAATCAAGGAACAGCATACTATGAGGGATCAGAGAATGCTTTTAAAAACTTATATTTTTATTAATTTCAGAGAGAGGAAGGGAGAAGGAGAGATAGAAACATCAATAATGAGAGAGAATCATTGATATGTTACCTCCTGCACGCCCCCTAATGGGGATCGAGCCCACAACCCGGGCATGTGCCCTGACCAGGAATTGAACCATGACTTCCTGGTTCATGGGTCAATGCTCAATCACTGAGCCACACTGGTTGGGCTGGATATGCTTTTTAATTAGAATCCTAAAGGATGAGGACTAAGTATGAAACTGTATGCACACACAGTCTGGGGGTCATTGTAGGCAAAGCAGACCAGCAAGTTCTGTTGTATTTGCTGCAGGTAGACACCTGTGATCCAATGTCTAGTTTCAGATTTTATGGTTTTGGGGTATTACCGTTGATAGCATTACTAGTAATAGCAGCAGTCATTTCTCCCTTCCTGAATCATAGTTTTAGAAGTTTATCTTGAAATTAATAGTCCAGGGCTGTCTCCATTACTTCTCCAGCCTACCTACCAATTTTGAAAGCATTAATTTTCTGTAATAAATGTCTTGAAATGAGAGTTTTTGTTTCCTACAATGAGCCTTGATAATTACGGTTTATAAGGAGCATGGCTTCAAATATCCTATCTAATAAAGAGGGAACATGCTAATTGACCCTCACACCATCACAAAAGATGGCGGTGTCCACAGCCAATGAGGAGGGAATATGCTAATTGGCTGCCATGCCCTCAAAGATGGTGGTGCCCACAGCCACAAGATGGCTAGCAGGGGAGGGTAGTTGTGGGTGACCGGGCCTGCAGGGGAGGACATTTGGGGGCAACTGGGCCAGCAGGGGAGGGCAGTTGGGGGGGGCGGGACCGGGCCGGCAGGGGAGCAGTAGGTGTCGATCAGGCTGGCAGGGGAATGGTTAGGGGGTGATCAGGCTGGCAGGCAGAAGCGGTTTGGGGAAATCAGGCAGGCAGGCAGGTGAGTGGTTGGGAGCCAGCAGTCCCAAATTGTGAGAGGGATGTCTGACTGCCGGTTGGGAGCCAGCAGTCCCGGATTGTGAGAGGGATGTCTGACTCCCAGGGATTGGGCCTAAACTGGCAGTCGGACATCCCCCGAGGGGTCCCAGATTTGAGAGGGTGTAGGCTGGGCTGAGGGACACCTGTCCCCCAGTGCACGGATTTCGTGTGCCGGGCCTCTAGGCTTATATGAGAATTATATAAGAGATGGAATAGTCTTACCTATCCCCATGGTTTCCTGTCTCCCATGGTTTCCTATCTTGTGACTGGAAAGGTAACATAGATCAATCGTTAGGATTGTGTGGACACTGTTGGAACTAAAGGGCAGTTTATGTAGTTATATTTCAGAGTATGTTCTCTGTGGCATCTGATAATTGTAATAAATTATTTTAAACCAGAATGGTATATCCTGATATAATCTGATGTGGAGTGTGTGATAGGGTTTCAGACTTTAGATAAAATACCACTCTAGTACATGTGCTACTTTAACTGAAAACCAAGGCACATTCCTTAGCAATTCTCAATAGAGGGGTTTGGAATGAAATGGAGAATTTTTAATCTTAAGCAGAGACTTATCTTAATCCTTTGATTTTTAGTCATGAGATTTTGAAATTCTAGGGAATGTTGAAGGATCTTTGAGGGATAATGAAGGAAGCATGGCATGGTATCAAAGATAAAGAAATGTTGTAATTATGGGTAGACTAGCCACTACATAATATATAGTTGTGGGATAATGCCAGTAACTTTCTGTTTCTCCTGTTCTCTATCCTCTCTCTGCTCTCTTAAGCACTGGTACTGCACAAATGAAGTAGTCCTTTTAATTCCCCAGGTTTATTTGCTTTCACTACACGTAATTTTATGTCATTTTGTTATTTTATGAGAGAATTCATCCAAATACCCATACATTGTCATTTCAAAAGATGCATACAACAGACTGGTGTATTTCAGAAGGAAATGGGGTGGGAAGAGATTAACCAATGAACTTATATGCATAGATGCATAGCCCAAGGACAGACAATAGTGCAGGTAAAGCCTGGGGAGGAGCCAGAAGCTGGGAGAAAGGTAGAGGGGGTCATAGGGGGAAAAGAGGGACATATATAATACTTTCAACAATAAAGATTAAGAAATAAAAATATAAGCATACACATGGTAATGATTTACAATTTTTGATTTAAAATGCTTTTACAGTGATACTGAACTAGGAGAAGAAAGCCAGAGTTTTAAATAAAAATAGAGAAGGTTTTTAGAAAGCAATGAGTACATTAACTTGTTATGGTAAAAGATAAGGCTGAGATCATAACGATGTTATGGTCACTGATACAGAATCATGCTCAGTTATGTCTGTTAGCCATTTCTTGAGCATCAACTATGGGGCAGATAAATAAGGCACACTCCGTACCCTTCAAGAGCTCAAAAGTGTGTGTACATATACATGTCTATGTGTGTGTGCAGAACATAGGCTCTGGAGCCATGTTATCTGGTTATATTTCCAAGTTGCATGCATAATGGCTTTGTATGATGTTGGACATATTACTTCACTGCACCATGCCTCAGCTTAAAAAAAGAAGTGTCAGGAAAATGAGTAGCATAGCCAGTAAAGATGTGACTACAATGTTGGCTTTGAAGATGGAGGAAGAGGCCATGAATCAAGGAATGCAGGCAGCCTTTAGAAGTTGACAAAGGCAAGGAAACATTCTGCCCTAGAGCTTCCAGAAGGAACCAGCCCTGCTGATATCTTAATTTTAGCCCTGTAGCTTGGACTTCTGACCTTCAGAACTATAACATAATAAATTTGTATTGTTTTAAAAACAAGCAACCCCCCCCCCCAAAAAAAAACACCAAAACAAAACAAAAGACAAAAAAACCCATTCAAGTACATGGAGGCTAAATCGCATCTATAATAATAAAAGCATAATATGCTAATTAGACTAGATGTCCTTATGGACAAAGCCAGGGGTGTGAGGGAATCCTGTATCCCAGGTGCCTCCTGGTGGCCAGAGGGAAGCCCGGGTCTCGGGTACCAGATGGAAGCTGGTGGTGGCAACCGGGGGAAGGAAGGTCTATTCTTGCATAAATTTTGTGCATCAGACCTATAGTGTTGTTATGAGTGGGTTATCAGTGAGATCAGGGAAGAAATTAAAAACTTCCTGAAAACAAATGAAAATGAACACACAACAACCCAAAATATTAAGAATATAGCAAAAGCAATTCTGAAAGGAACGTTTATAGCACTACAGGCCTACCTCAAGAAACAAGAAAAATAAATAAGCTATTTAACCTACTACTTAAAGAATTGGAAAGAGAACAAGAAAAACCCAGAGTATACAGAAGTAAGGAAATAATAAAGGTTAGAGCAGAAATAAATGACAGAGACTAAAAAACAATGCAAAAGAGAAATGAAACCAAGATGATAATTTGAAAAATAAACAAGATTGATTACCCTTTAGGCAGATTCATCAAGAACCAAGAGGGAGGACCCAAATAAATAAAATCAGAAAGGAAAGCAGTGAAGTAACAATGGACACCATAGAAATACAGAGGATTGTAAGAAAATAATATGAACAACTATATGCTAACAAGCTGGACAATGTTGAGATGTCAAAATAAATTTCCAAATGCAGGCCATCACAAGAGACAATAAAGAAACATAATCTAGCCCTAACCACTATGGCTCTGTGGATAGAGCATCGGTCTGAGGATTGAAAGGTCCCAGGTTTGATTCCAGTCAAGAGCATGTACCTTGGTTGCAGGCACATCCCCAGTAGGAGGTGTGCAGGAGGCAGCTGATTAATGTTTCTCTCTCATCCATGTTTCTAACTCTCTATCCCTCTCCTTTCCTCTCTAAAAAAAATCAATAAAATATATTTTTAAAAAAGAAAAGAAACAACCTAGGACAAATTACTAGAAAAATACCATCTTCTAAAACTGAATGAGGAAGAATCAGGAAACCTGAGCAGGCCAATAACTGAAGAGATGGAAGCAATAATAAAAAATCCCCAGCAAACAAAAAGCTCTTGTCTGGATGGCCTCTGAGTGTTTTACCAAACCTTTAAAGAACAAATAACACCTATTCTCCTCAAACTATTTCAAAAAAAAATTCAAGAGGAAAGAACACTTCCAAACCCTTTTTATGAGGCCAGCATTATCCTAATTCAAATCCAGATAAAGACAATGCAAAGAAAGAGAACTACTGGCTAACATCCCTGATGATCACAGATGCTAAAATCCTCCATAAAATATTGGATCCAGCAATACATTAAAAACATCATACACTACTCTGACTGGTTTGGCTCAGTGGATAGAGCATTGGCCTGTGGACTGAAAGGTCCCAGGTTCGATTCCGGCCAACTTGACAAAATCTAACACCTATTTTTGATAAAATTCTCAGTAAAGTGGGAATAGATCATACCTCAACATAATAAAGGCCATATATGACAAACTTACAGCCAGCTTCATACTCAATGGGCAA